CGGAGCCCTGGCCCAGGCTGCCCAGGGAGGCTGTGGAGTCTCCTTCTCTGGAGATATTCCAGCCCCGCCTGTCCGCGGTGCTGTGCCCCCTGCTCTGGGTGACCCTGCTTGGGCAGGGGGTTGGGCTGGGTGACCTGCAGAGGTCCCTTCCCACCCCTGCCATGCTGGGATTCTGTGATTCTGTGACCTGGAGGGGGTATGGAAGCTAGAAATTAAAAGCTGGATTGCAGCCGTTATCGGAGCTGGGTGGTTTGTCATCTGGTGTGAATGGAGAGGAGGATCTGCTTGGGATGGACCTTGACAGTGCAGGTTCCCCACGCGCCAGCTGAGCCCACCAGCCTCGGTGCAAGGCAACATCCCGAGTTCCTGGAGTCCATGGGCACCGTCTAGCCGTGGCTGGGTGGGTTGTCCCATCCTGCTCCTCACTGGAACTGACTGCCCAGGGCAGTGGTGGAGTCCCCATCCCTGGAGGGGTTCAAAAAGCGTGTAGATGTGGCACTTCGGGACGTGATTTAGCAGGCATGGGGGTGCTGTGTTCTTGGTTGGACTGTATGATCTCAGAGGTCTTTTCCATCCTTAATGATTCGATGATTCTGTGCTTCTGCAGGGCATTTTTCCCCTTCCAAGCCACCCTCATTTCTGGGTCAGCTGTTCCCATCTCCCTGCCACCCCGAGCTCCGGTGTGTGATGGTGTGGAAGCGACCACCGTGTCAGCAGGTTGCAGAGGGTCTGTGCCCGGGCTGGGCTTCGCAGAGCAGAGACCCCCAAGCCACGTGGCCGAGCAGGGACCTCCATCCCACGACTGTACCCCCTCTGCATGCACCATCCGAAGCGTTATGGCTTGCCCCATGTCGTGCATGACTGTGCCAGCCTGTGGTCCTGAGCACCCTGCAGTCAGGATGGGTCCAAAAGCGACTGTGAGGTCTCCTCTTCTTCCCAGCATGTTGGAGTCACAGCCTGATGTAGCTCTTGGGTTTTGGGTGGGACTTGAAGCAGCTTGAGGAAGCAGATACCTCCCTTAGATGCCTCCAGCCTGTGCTCAGGCAATGGAGAAGTTGTATCATTTCTTCCTTGATGCCGGGACGGCTGCGACTGTCACAGGCAGGACAGCAGGCAGCCGTCCCTCCCCACCATCACCAGGTCGCCCCTCAGCTCAGCCCTAGCTTCACCCTGCATTTCCCACCCAAGGGTCCTCCATGGTTGCAACCGTGTCCTTCCAGGGACATGCAAGGGTCTGGCTGGATGTGAGCATGACCGTGCCCGCTCCCTGGGCTTCACCCGCCAGCCCCACCACAGCCTGGCCCGGCCCCTAGATCATCCCTGCCAGGTAGGGTGGGAGGAAGAGCCCCACGGTGCCCAGCAGACAGACGATGATGAACATCCAGAGGAAGATGCGATCGATCACCATGGCCACGTACTTCCAGTCCTCCTTCACCTGGGAAGGGGAGAGGGACTGTGAGTGTGGGAAGAGGATTCAGCTCCCTCTTTATGAGGACCTTTGGGGTTAGGAGACCACCCGGGGCTTCCTCTGCATCCACTCTTTGCCTTAGGGCGAGGAGATACCCCAGATCTCAGGGAATCCCTGAAGCAGGAGGGCTGGGGGATGGATCTCTCCGGGGAGGCTGCTTGGGCCAAAGCAAATCCTACCCAGGGTTTTCTGAAACCACCTGGATAAAGGTTGGGGTACAGGCTCTAAGCTGGGTCCCAGCAGGGCTGGAGAGGGACCCCCAACACCGCTGCAGCCAGTGGGGAGAGGAGCTGGAGGAACCCTCAACTAACCCTATGGACTGGGCACCTCCCTGCAGGTGGTCCTTGATCTTCTCCCTGGCTTTGGGTCCTCAGCAGCCGGGGGGCCAACCGGGGGTCCCAGCACTGAACACAGCTGGAGGAACCCTCAACTAACCCTATGGACTGGGCACCTCCCTGCAGGTGGTCCTTGATCTTCTCCCTGGCTTTGGGTCCTCAGCAGCCGGGGGGCCAACCGGGGGTCCCAGCACTGAACACTTCATGGAGGTACAAGTGGCAGGAGGCAGCACCAGGGTTGGAGACCCCCCCTCACTCTATCAGCCCTCGGGGACATCCACTCACCGAGAAGTCAGCGTCCTCAGCTCGCAGGTGGTCCGCGATGAACTGGACCCCTTCCCGGCCCTT